CAGCGTAAGGACTTACTTACCTGCAGGACAGCAATGAGCCACGATGCATGAAACTTCACGTTATGCCATGTCAGTGCAGCGTTTGGTGGACATAGTACTGGCTTCGAGCGTGGTGCATCATAACCGAGAAGCCGGGGTATCGGGCGCAATTTGTGGTCAACTCGGAGTGCTGGTGACATCGAACTCCACGGGAACGGTCTTGCTACGAGGATACTTGTCTGCGATGAGCCTAGGAAGAGACATCACTTAGAAATCGAACCTATTTGCTCACAGAAGCTCCACGCATGACGCTTACTGCGAGTCCATATTATAGTCGCTTGACTATCGGCCGCGGAGCAAAGCGGAATGAGAGACTGCAGTGATAGGATCTTTCCTGGCAAACGTGGAAAAAAGTCGGTCTTGCAGAGAGATTGACCGCGTGGCGGCCACCGGTTGAACTGTGCTGTAGGTCGGTCAAATCGACGCGTTACGCGGTACTGCATGATCGAAAAGGCCTGTTGGTCCTGTCGGGGCAGGCGGCTTGCTTGACACTATGTACCTGTCGCTGAGGCTGCAATCGGCCGAGCTGAATGCATGGCGGGATCACCGATGAAGTCTGACCCCGACGAAGTGGGTCGGGAAAGTCGGAGTGGGTCATAGTGCCGGATGGCCGTGGATAGGCGGCCGTCTGAACTGGGTTCTGTGGGTGAAGGAGGCCTTTATGATGACGGTCTCAACATATTGACTTCATCGCGAAAAGTTGCGATAACACGAGATCCCGGATGACTTGACTTACCAGTAATTCAGCGTAACATCTGGGGCCGAGGGTCGGAAACAGCCAGGTAGTACTATTTCAGTGCTCATGGTGCTCGAGTTTGTCGCGTCAACGCAACGTCAACGTGTGCAGTTGCCACGCCGGACTCAGCTCTGTGACGCAGCTGCGTTGACCGCTTGACGCGTCGCAGCATGGGTACTACGCAACCTGCCAGCCGAGGGCTGCAGTCACGTTCAGTCAGCTGGCCGTTTGCATGTATATCCGCTTGTTCAAGGTTGACTCGCAGGATCTTCAGAAACGATACAAGTCAGGTCGAGGAGGAGGACATCCATGAACAGCACTTATGTAGCGCCCACTCTGAGTCTTTGGGAGAAGCGCCCATACCTGTCCCATACCTTGTCCACCGACTGAGACCACTGAGACCGATACATTTCAGACTCTGCTGCTGCTGCGAGTTGACTACACTGAGCTGCCTAACACCCGTTCTATCTGCTTACCCTCCGACGACCATGACCGACGTCGAACCCGCGGCAATGGCAAGCACGTCACAAACCCTACAGGAGACAACGCAAAGCCATGCATCCGGATCGTCAAGTGCCGCTCGTTATGAACAGCCTTGTAAGTGCTCTGGCTTCCTTTGAGCATCAGCTACATGGGTTTGCAAGCCCAGCTCCGAGCTCGTGAATTCGTGGAGCTCCACGACCAAGTGCAGGTAAGGGCAATGCTCTCTACGTATTCCGCTGCATCATGTCACACTTACGCCCGGTGCATGAGTATAGACAAGTGTCACCCTGCTTGACTCCCTCGAAGGCTTCCTTTCTACCTTCCAGAAGGACTTGTCTGCAGTCTCTGGGCAGATTTCCAATTTGCAGGACAGAAGTAAGGACATCGACAATCGATTGAAGAGTCGAAGGGTAAGTGCTCTTCGTACCGAACGCAGGACACGCATTCATGTAGCCGCAAAGAAAATCGAGAAACCTTTGTCCAACCTCCTGGTCGACCTATGCATACCGCCCGCACTCGCAACGCTCATACTGGATACCCGCGTTGACGAGAACTGGATACCCGCCATTATGGAGTTCGAGAGGAGGTTGGATACCCTCAAGCTGCGAGTACGCGTCAAGGCGGCACGCGACCTGTCGGAAGTTGCGGAAGGGCTGCGGATAGTGGTATGTTGCACGATGCATCCATTTGGTGTCGTCGTCCGACGGAATCACACAGGCTGCAACGAAGCTACGCGCATTCTTCCTGTCCATGCTGGAGCCGATGCGAACAAGCATGACCACGAACCTCCAAATGATACAATCGTCTGTGTGGATGAAGTATCGACCTTTGTTCGTCTTCCTGCAACGTCATGCTCCAGGCGTCGCCAACGAAGTACAGCGTGCGTACGTAGGTGCAGCGCGGACATTCTTCGAGACTGGATTCCGGCGGTATCTGCGGGCTTTGAGCTGGATCAAAGTGAGACATCCCACCCCTCATCCATGCTCTGTCTCACGTGTACCTCAGGCTCGGACAGCAGAGAAGGCGGAGAGCATCACCAGTGAGACCAGCCCGGAGTTCGATCCAAATCGTCTAGCGTACGCACGCTTGGAAGGCCCAAGCGTCACCATGGCGTACTTGAGTGATGACAAAAGCTATGTGAGTGCGCGTTTCTCCCGCGCTTCTTGCACTCGGACTGATTTGTTGTGCCCATGCGCATAGAAAGAACCTACAGAAGCCCTGGTCCGGTCCGCCTTGCTGGTGCTCATGGACAATGCGACTGCCGAGTACGCGTTCATCACCGCGTTCTTCGCAAACGAGCCACGTCCTCCTCTGTTGAGCAAGGACTCCAGCAACTCTATCATGTCCCCGCCCATCTTGTCACCGACAAAGGAGGCCTTCGATGAGCCACGGTCGAATCCAGGATCAGACTTCGGCAGCGAGAGCGTGTCCCCCCGACGGAGAGTGACCAGCATCACCGGGGTGATGAATGCTGCGACGCAAGACCAGCAGTCCCACAAGGAAGAGCAAGCTTCGCTGCACGCCATCTGGAAGCAGGTCATGGACCCCGTCCTCGACTACTGCCAAGTACGCTCATTTCTGCTGGTTCCTGTCATCCTTTATATGACGCTGACATCACGCCGCAGACGTTCATTCAGAACGCTATCGAGCCTACCCCTCCCGTGATCACGCTGTTGACGATCATTCGTCTCACAGAGGACGTCGTCGCAGAAGTGCAGAGGCGCGGCTGCGGCCCGCTCGAGACGTACATCTTCACGCTGCGGCTCAAGATGTGGCCTGTTTTCCAGAAGCTCATGGCGGAGAACGTCGACTCGCTCAAGAAGCTCGCCGAGGGCGCGAGTGCGGGATACTTCCGCCGCGCGGGTATCACGACTGACGCTCTCGTGTCGAATGTGAGTGGTGATCCCTTACAAAATGCGCAATCGACCAGGCTAGGCTGGCGCGCGATGTTCCACTCGAATTTGGCTACTGACGCTGTGTCATGCAGGTGTGCCGCCGCTACGTGACCATCTTCAATGCTTTTGTCGCGCTCACCGACCAGCCTGAAGAGACAATGATATTCTCGAAGTGCGTGTTTTGATCTGCATCGCGACTGTTCTTCTCAGACTGACTCTGCCGTGGCTCGTGCAGTTTGCTCCGGTTGCGCCAAGAGCTGTCGAAGCTGATCACCACCCATACGGACAAACTCAGCGACCCTGTGGCTAAGGCGTCCGCGCAGTCAGCGATCTACGAACAGCTTTTGCAGGGCCTCAGTGTGAGTTCTGATTGGAATCTTCGTGCTGACTGTCGAATCTTGACTCTTCGACCATCTTCAGAGTGGCCCTGGTCCGACCAGCCACCCGAAGGCACAGTCCGAACTCGCATACTGGCGCGAACGTGACGAAGAGTCTCGCAGGCGGATGGTCTCCACCAACGGCCGCAGATGATCAGGGAGTACATCCTTGGGAGTAGGGGTAAATGTCATATTCTGCGCTTCGTCGGGCTTTCCTCTTTGATCGTCTATCTACTCGGATAGGAATGGACGATTTCGTAGATGTCGCGCTACAGCCTTGAGGATCACCCTGGTCGTCCGGTTCAGGGGAGTGGTATGATGACAGAGCGAGAAAGGACACGCACAGGGTGAATTCGTTTATCTCTCTGACGAGATCATAGATGCCACCGATACCTTCGTCGACGATGACCTTGCCAACACAAGGCTCGAACAAGGGGATCATCCGGTCACCTGGCCGCTCGGACCAATTGAGGATGTCGCGGCGGGGATCCAGGATAGTCTTACCCGCGCGTTCGAAGTCATCTTCGAGAATATCGTACAGAGCGCGTACGAGGATCTCGCTACGGAAGCCGTCGATGTTTTCCGGTAGGTCAGCGGAAACAACGGCTGCGGAGGGAACAGTCAAGTTCCTCGAGTTGCGCCCATTCGTTTTGTTGATCCATTTGTTGACTCTGAGCTGAGACTTGAGGTCGAACATGATCATATCACTGGGACTGCACTCCTTGGGTATGTATGGTATGCGGACCGGCAACGACGTCTCGTGCCATAGATAGAGAGGTTGACTCGTAATCGATGTGGGCGGCATGGGGCGCAGCCTGTGCGTACGACGAGAGCGGTGCGTTCCTTTCCCAAAGGCCAGACTCATGCCTGGTGTTATGCCGTCGGCACCATCCGTTCTGGGACGGGTTAGGTTGAGCGGGTACACATGGTACGTTGCCCAGTTATTCCCAGGACGCGGAAGGCCCCAAAGCTGCGAGACCTTTTGAATGTCTGCAACTAAGACCACCAGATATGATCCTTACGCGCAGGTTGTAAAGGAAGTACTCCTTGTGGTGCATCGTGTGGACCGCGTCGATTGTGACTGGGTCTGCCAGCATAGGGGGAAGGTTGTTCAGCATCGCCTTGGGTTGGAACCTGCACCGCGGAGCGGCGGCGTAGCGAACCAAGACCATTTGGAGGGGACTGATGTGAGGTAGTTGTTGAAAGGAGCAAGTCTTAGAGCTGATGCATGATGGCTTCAGAAGAACGCAGTAAAACGATAGAAGAGTGATGTGAGGTTAAGTCGAACGCACTTGATTCCGGCCCACCGGGCTGATTCCACCATATAGTGTACTTACATGCTTGTCTACCACGCTTAGCAGTATCTCTGACTTCTGCAACATTTCTCATGCATGTCCTGGCCTCTAAGATGTGCGCTCGCACGTCTAAAGATTTTGACAAAATGATAGAGGATGGAAGAGCTAAAACCTTTGATGAGAGTGGGATTCGAACCCACGCCCTTTCGGACCAGATGTCGACAGGCACGAAACCTTAGTCTGGCGCCTTAGACCGCTCGGCCATCTCACCATATTATCCTTTTACCTCGAAGTAGTTATAGTACACTACGCAAGTTGACCCTTGAAAGTGGACTTCACACCTCCCAAGACTCGGAGTCCTGGTCCACGACGTCGAGGTCTCAGCTGCAGTGGTCTCACTGATACTGTCTTGTACTTGATTTTTCGATGAGCTCGGTCACCTTCAGCTTCAATATACTCAACACCTTACGTGCCACAATAGACTGGAGACTCGGATACTAGAGGCACCATAGCAAGTACTTACTAGCTATGTGCTACTACTACTGTTCATTCCCAGTGAAAATCCGCCAGATTAAAAGCGATTGTTACCGTTTGTGAGAGTATATAGTCGTTATCGGGCCGTTTAAATCACGGTCACGCGCGTTTTCGCGTGTTCTGGGACGCGTTCAGCGTCTATTCACGATCGCGTTTAGCATTACCTCCATGCCATAGCTTAGTCCGCTGTCCGACTCGTCCTCCATAGCTCCACTTGTTATCATATCACTCGCGTTGCTGCTATGGGCAGCCCTATGATGCCACTGTCATAGGATACACCAATAACATTACTTATCACCGTGCCTCGCCGCCTTTCCTGCTCTCTTCTGCCCTCTTCTGCGCTCAGCCTCTCATCGACTTTCGTTCTCAACTTGTCTGCTTGACACCACGGC